CAAAGTCATTACCAAAATGCTGCGGTAAAAATTAGCGAGTTGTTTGGTATTCCTATAGAGCCGAAAACATGTAAACTTTACCATATTCTGTTAGTTTTAACCATATTCTGTTAGTTTTAACCATACTTTTTTTCTCTTTTAAGTTACATCTATGAAATGTTTGAAACAAAAAGATTTATCTAGAAAAGTTTTTATTTTAGTCTAATTTAACTACACAGCATTCATTTAATTTGCTAACTCTCAGTAGATGAAGAACCTAAGTGACTGTCGCTGAATGTATTTTGAGTGAACGATATAAGTACATTTGGCAATAAAAAGTCAACAAGTATCTTTAGAAGACTTTTTTAAAAATTATTTAAAACGTCAGGGAGGCGAATGCCATGAAGCAAACAGTTTAAATGAGTGTTTAGGATTTGCAGATTTGGCAATTGAAAGCTTGCGAACAAAAAATAATGAAAGCATAAACTTTAAAGCCCATTCACTCACTTTCAATAATATGCCGCTTAGATTATTTAGCTCTTCGATTATACTGCTTGACAAATTTTAATCTTTTGTCTTTTAAATGAATTTGAGTAGATTTTTATTCTAAAACATTTTGTTTTAATTTCGAATATTTATTCTTTTCTTATTCATTTTAGCGGAAATTTTTCTATGTGAGATGAAATTAAAAATGTCATGCTATTTTGAAAGAAAAAAATAATTTTATTTCAGTTTCACGCATTTATTTATCAAAATCAAAATGTCATCAAACGATTTTCCTAGCATAACGAACATTTCCAAGCATGTGGGTTTCTCTGCATTTTACTTAAGGAACACCCCTTTTTAGAGGCCAGCAATTATTTACTCTTATTATTCGATTACATTTTTCTTGTTAACCCTTTGACGCAGATGAGACACCGGTGTCTCTTATACATTTTTTTTCCTGGGGCTCTAATTAGAAGTAAAAATATATTTTGATAATTTTTAGTTTTAGAAACTGTCTAGCAACAAAACAATTTCTTAGATTATCGAAATGATATTTGTTCTGAAATAAAAATTAAAAGTGTCCAAAACAATTAGTAGTCCGAAAAACAAATTCATTCATTTCTCAAATATTTATTAATGCAAATTAAAGAAATTTTATTAATGATGAATTATTGTTTCTCTAAATTTAAATAACTGCAAATAAGTTCAAATTTCAAAAATTACTGTTTAAAAGTGAGCCGTGTTTGGAAGTTTTTACCTTGCGCAGAAAGTGACACCGGTGTTCCATGCTGTATTTCATAACTATGAAGCATTGAGAAGTGAAATATATTTTATTTTTTATTTATTTTTATTAATATTTTCACTTAGTAATCTTAAACGAATGCAAAATGTACTGAATTAAAATTCTGCATCGAAGGGTTAACTATTTTCTGATGTTAAAAAGTCTTGGTGAAATCAATTTATTGTTCATTGCTCACAGTGCCGAGAGTTTCAAGAAGAAAGTTCAAATGCATTGCAAAAAATATATTTTTAAAGGAAGGTTATGACCAATATTTTTTTTTCTTGAGAAAAAGAGTTCAAAAACTAGTTCTCCATGGCTCTAAACTTTGTATCTACCAAGAAATTCAAATTGTTATTTTAAAAAAAACAATCGTTATTTTTATACTTTTATAAAAAATTTTAAAAAAATTAAGTCCGGTAAACAATTTTTGATGTCTTATTAAACTTTAGCATAGAAAAACCGTTACATTTTTGTGTTATCAACGTATTAGCAACAGTGATAGTAAGATTGTTAAAAATAATTTAATAGCCTAATATGTGTATATTCTTTTTCTCTAAAATATATACTTCTAAAATTATAATATAAATAACCAAACTTGTTAGAAAACAGTACCTTAAGTCAACATATTGACGATCTACGTATTCATATATTTTGATTTCGATAGAAGCTAAAATAAATTTCCTATCCTTTCTGATATTCTTTCATGTAAACAAAAAAATCCTCCCCCTATTCTAAGCTTACTGTTCACCCTTAGGTGAATAAAAAAAAGTCTGATTTTCTACTATAGTCTCTTCATCTATCTTAAAGGAAAAATAGAAATTCTTTCACTTCATGCTTTAAAAAGGGAGATGCAGGCAATTTATTGATTCGAGGAAAGTATAGTAGAAAGAAAACTTTGGTACTTTCGGATATTTGATCGTAAATTCGACAGCTGATATTTATAAATCCGGATTAGGTACAACATAATGGCTGAAAAAGACTTTATGGATCTTAAAAAAAAGATTTTTAAGCTTTTAGAGTAGATCATTTACTTCTCATTACTATTGTCGAAGTAAGTATTTGGGTATTTTAAAGCAGAATGTTTCCTGAAATAAAGTGTCTGACATTTTTTAATTTGTCTGAAAACATTCTGAATAAAATTTAAGATATATTTATGAACAGTGATGAGGTTGGAATTTTTTTTTTTTTACTTATTAAAACTGGAAAATGTTTAAACGTTAATCTAGTTTTTTTTTAAATTCTGTGTTATATTAATAGTGTCCTTTTTTATTCTATATCAATTGTTGATAAAATTTAATTTAGTAAATTGAACTCAGTAAATAATGAGGATTTTATATCGAGAAGCTTAAGATCATTCAAGCATAAACGCCATTAAAAACATGCCAGATTAAAATAATTTTTTATTCTCATTATCGCTAATTCTTTAAAAACTAAAACATTTTAAACCCTTTGTGTAATGAAATTAAATATGCATTTTTTAGTATAATTTTATGCCAATGCCCGACTCAATTTTTGAAGTTTAAAAATATATAATGAGGGTTTTCATTAAAAAATACCTTGTTAGTGTTACATGATTCAATCATATGAATGTGAACCGTGAACAAACAACATTGAGAAAAAAAGTGTGATTTAAAAAATCAGAGTATAATAAAATATGCCTTATTTCTTGCTCTTATAGGAACACCAAAAAGTTCGGTAAAATTTACCAAAGCACTTTAGTGATAATTTTGGTAAAATTAACAATAAAAAATGACTTTATAATATACGTTAAAATTTGGTAATTTTATCATGATACCTTAGTCGGGTATATTTTGGCTATAATGCCCAAAATTAAATTTTTTTATTAGAAATTTCATTATCATACAGTCAAGTAATTTTTTAATATATCAAAACAAATTACGATACATAAAATTTATCGAAAACTTTTAAATGGTTGATTGTTTTATTATTTCAATATTCGAAGTGGAAAAATAATTATCTTTTTACAATTTTTAAACAAGAATTTTCTTGATTAAGCCCTGTTTTTTGTTGTGAAGTTCCCATAAAACCAAATAACGGTAGATAATTAGTACAGCCTCGCAAGCCTGCTCCTAGAGGCTTGCAGAGTGGGTTGCCTTTAAACCAATTTCTATTTAGATCTATCAAAGCAAAATTACAAAATCCCNCAAAAAATTAGATGGTTAAAAAATAAAGTTACAAGTGTTTTTATTTCTAAGATTAAAACATTAAACATTATTAACGCTTTTAAGTTCAGGACCAAAAGGTTATTTATAAGTTAGATTATTAGTAAACAATAATTTTTTGTTTCTTTTCAGAAAACATGCTAACATTGTAGGTATCGGTAACAAGGAAAAAAATCGATATCTTCAAATCTTTTGTTAAAACTATACATAAAAGCATTTAACTATCTCAAGAACATTTTTAATTTTTTTCTTGTATTTAATAACTTAAGAGAAACAATTTTTAAATCCATTTAACGGACAGAAGTATTTATTTTCTGGGTTAACAACCTTTGTTTTTCTCTGAAAATACTTTTTTAAAGATTTAAATACATTTCCAACAAATATTTTTAATGAGAAAAGTATTGTATTATAAAATAGTAATAAACACTCAAGTAATGTAGCCTGTTCTCTTCAAAATTAATTAATAATTCAGAAATATTCTGTAATTAATAGTAAACTTTTTCTTTATACTATTTCGTGGAATTTAAAAGGGAAGAAAACTAATTTGATGACTTTCGAATATCAGACGTTTCTAATTTTGTTTTGACAAAAAATAGGGATTGTTTTTATTCTTCTTCTTTTCAGAAATTAAATCTATCGCCTGTAATTAATTAAAACGCTTCTCGCAAATGCTTAATCAAGGATTCTAATTAACAACTGAAGAAAGTTTTTTAATATGTTTTTTGCATTGTTTTGTTGTTAATGCCTAACAACTGTCTTATTAAATTCTATTTTTTATATATATTAAAACGATATTGCTTTGAATTTTTCGAATTTTTTTCATGCTTTACCTGATTTTTTATTTTAAAATAATTGAATAATTACTTAAATAAAATTATTTAAACGTTTGTTTTTTTCATAGAATAACATATATTTATTCCCTTCAGCTATTTAATTTTACTTATACCATATGGCAGCATTTTAGTTAAATAAAACTTAACAGAGTATGAAAAAACTATACTACATTGTTCTTCAGAATAAACTTTTAAACATTTCTTTCCTTTTTAAAAGAATGATTATTTCAACTTAGCCTTAATGTTTAAAAATATATATTTATTTATTTCACTTCAGCTGTTAAGTTTACTTTTATTTAATTTATGCATTAAATTTAATTTATGCATTTATTTTTATTTATGCAATAAAAATAATAAATTTACTTAAAACAATATAAAATACAAGCAACTGAATACAAAATCATGAAAAAGTTCAAAATTGGTTGAAATCTCTAAGATCTGGAAAGGGTGACCTTAAAAGAAGTTATTGATAAAAAAACACATAAAGATTACAAAATATATTATTTTAATATGAAATAATACTTAATAATAAAATTTTAATTAGAATAAATTATCATAATAAAATTAAAACGAATAATGGAATTTAAAAACCAGGATGGTAAAGAAAAATCGCTCTCAAAAATATGACTTACAAATATTTAAAAAAAATTTCGCATTTGCAACTGAATTATGTTGATTATTTAATTGTCCAATATATACATGCTTCTAATAATCTTCATATTTATTTTGTTTTGACAGGAAATGCAAGTAGAGAATGTTTGTTGAATGCCAGCTGGTCGAGTTGGTCTAATTACCGATCATGTGTTCCGCTAAAAATACCAGAGGATGAATATCTGCAGGTAAATAATGATTACTAACAAAACATCATTTCCTTTTCTATTATATAATGCTGTCTGTACAACTTTCTTTTCAGAAAGATAAAGGTATGTTCTAAAAGCAATGTTTTGAAAATATCCTGCTATGAGAAAAAAGTATAGTCGAAACTACCAGAATATGATAAAAAGTTATGGTATTTCTCGCTTTATATGTTATGGGAACATCAAAAAGCTTGGTAATTTTTTCGAAGTGATTTGGTAATGATTTTTGGTAAAATTAACAAAAAAATATTTTTTTTTAATGTATGATAAAATTTTGTAATTTTATCTTCATACATTAGAGCATGACATAAAAATGATTTATACGGCTAACTTTACTTTTCAGATTTATGTTTTTTACTAAATGGGTAGTATTAAAAACTGTAATTTTGAAAACCAGAATTTTCAGTAAACCGTTACCATATGAACGAATAAATTATGAAATTAATGGTTTTAATACCGTAAATTTTGGTTTTTATTATAACAATTATGGGTTGTTGTTTTTTTTTACCGAAAGTGTCATTAGCATAGAACATGGTAATTTTACCAAAATTTTTTTCTCCGTGTATCCTCGCATATTTAGCTAATATGTGTTTTTATTTCGCACAAACCCTCTTCAAATTAAAAAGTTTGATCAATTTATTTTTTAGTTATAACCTCAAATCTATCCAGAGCCTAAAAAACACCTAGTTGCAAAACAATTTTAACTGTTTTTTATGGATCCCGATAAATTGCTCTTAGTAATTAGTATGTATAAAACAAAACTTCAAAGAAAAATTTTATATTTCATTAAATTATGTTACTAAATTATTTTCCGGAACTTTTGCCTATAATTATTTCCCGGATCACTTGACTTTCGCCTAAAGGACATTTTACTCCAGATAACTGAGTATCTGTAAAGTAATGTCAAATAATAAATTGTGGCAACTACATTGATTAAAATAATTCTCATAAATGGAACGGATATAACTTCTAATCATCATCTGGAGCTATTAACTTGTAGTTATAAATTAAAGTTAAGCACTAATTACGTTACCTAATTTTATCATAAAAATACCATCATCAAGAAAGTTCAAGAAAAAAATCCCTAAGACTTCCGAATGTTCTTTGAAGATGAGTTTGTTGTTAATGATGGAAAATTAATTACATTATAAATATGTCGTTGAACGTAACACTAATAGAAAATTGAAACCAAATTTTATTATAAAAACATCTTCTATAAAAGTTTATTATATTTCCGGAGAATCTTTATCATATTGTAGAGCCTTCTGACGAAGATTGTTACAGATTTATCTTTAATTCTATTATCTTAAATTTAACAGATTTATGCTTATTAAGAAGTAATAATTTTCTTCTTTATAAGCATAAATCTGTTAAATTTTATGTAATTTTGCAAAACAAGGTCGTTGCAAAGAAATAGATGAGAGCCAAAGGATCTTTAGATTAAAAATTAAAAAGAGTTCTCAGCAAAGAGAGATCCATTATTTCATCGATTTATCAAAAGAATCAAGACAAACAAATGAAAAAGGATTTTTGAGTTTCAAATAATTTAGCGAGAAATAAAACTTTAAGAATGCTGCAAATTTAAGACAAACCTTTAACGGACTTGAATATTTATGCTAACAGTATTAGAAAGAATATTTATTTTTGGAATTCGATTTCCGCTCATCTGAAAAAGAAGTTAATGGTTGTTTTTATTGAGAAAAGTATTACAGGATTAAGAAAACCATGGCCAACAACAGAGTGACATAGAATAAAATTCTTGAGACAGCTATGGCCTATGGCGTCGCATTAAAGGGAAAAAAAAGATTTTAGGATTGAATTTAAATTTAAAAAATAAAAGATATTACAAAGCTAGGAAATATGTAATGCCTACAGGTAATAAGGCACACCTTAAGTACTTTTGAACTAATGATATGAATTTCATGTGAAGTTAAAAATTTCTATGGTTTGAGTCAAACTCTTTAGGAAAATTAAATAATTAGTTTGAACATTAATTAAGTTTAGAAATCGAAAACAAATCTATACTTTCTTTTGAGTGTTAAAACAAATTTATGGATATGAATATAAAATTCGACAAAAATCAGTTAAAAACGTGCATAAAAAATAAAATGACTATTGATTGTACAGTATCATAATTGTTGTAAATAATTGAAATTGAAATTATATAGAATATAAAAACAGTAACTGAGAGGATTATGTTGTTGTTGTTTCTCGTGTTGTTGCTCCGCTAGAGCAGGTCCTTGAATCCATTCACCCTCAGGAAATCAAAAAACAAGACCGGGTCGCGCAGAAAATCCTCGTTTTCAAAATCCACACAGTTAAGGAGGTGGGTCGGGCTGGCTGCACTGGAGAAACATTTGTTGCAGGTGGGATAGACCTTTCGCTGCTGTTCATACCTCATGTACTTTATGTGTCCACTGATGAATCTAGTAAACGCGGTCTGATCGCCTCTATTACCTCTGAAGGCCAAAGCACAACCCGACTTATCCCCAGAGTACCAGATATGTACTGGGGGAGTTTTCCAGACTAGCTTGACACCTTGCTTTCTAATGGGGTGAATTTCCTAGGATGTGAGTGCCAAATTTCCGGTAGGTTCATTTGTGCCAAGTTTTGCCAGCGAGTCAGCTATCTCATTCCCGTATAGACCAACGTGGGACGGAATCCACTGAGATGATTATGGTAGTATAGAGTGACAAGATTACAGTGTTACCAGGCTTAAGTGTAGTTTTGTTGTGTTTTGTTTCATTGCTTGTTTTGTAATTTTGTTGTTTTTTTTAACATGATAAAATGCGATAGCTAAAAATGTTCTATTTGTATAGTTATTCTTTATTTTCTACACTAATTAGCGAACATTTGCAAAGTAAATTTTTTCAAGAAATCTGACAAATCGGATAATAGTTAAAAAAAAATTGCTTTTATTTGTGAGTTTCGATTTTTTTAATAGTTTTCAAGGACAGGAATGATCGGTAAATATTTCCTTGGTGATAAAATTACCTATTTCATGAATTATGATTCATTAAATCATTATTTTTTGCGCTGATCGAGTTAAATATTGATAATTTGTTAATACATCTGTTAAAACAGAGTCTAACAAGAATTAATTAGACAAAGTATTTTTATATATGCTTAGACTATTAATTGTGATAACACTATTTCCTACTAATAATTGTAATATTCATTAATAATGTTTATAAATTTTAAAATCTTTTAAAGTACTTAACCTGAACTATTTCAGTTAATTACATGTCCTAAAAATAAAGTCGATGCTATTTTTATTGCGTGGGTTTCTTATTTCTTTTATCAGAATTTGATTTATGTTCTTATTTACAGATAAGCCAAGTGTAACTTACCAACTTTAACGAGAAAAAGAATTAAGAGTGAATGTGATAGCTATAATTAATGAGCTTTCTTATAGACAAAATAATGTTAGAAGCAAACTTCAGAAAAATTCCAGTGTTGGGAAATGTTTGTTAGCTTTCTCGTGTTTAAATACGCGTTTTTTACAAATTAAATTATTTTAGGGACACAAAAACAAAGGCAATACTTAAGCAAAAATGTGACATTTATAAAAGAATAGTTAATACTTTTTGACATGAAAAAAAGAAGAATAAGAAATTTTTTTAAATCATTTTATAAACACATTTGAAAGGGTTTTTCTCTTAAATGTTTTGACTAATATACTATTTAATATACTTGTAAAAATTTACTATAAGGTAATGTGAAACCACAGAAAGTTTTTTTTCCAATTTTTAAATTTTAAAAATTATCAGTAGTTTTCTGTCAAAAAACTCATATAGCTTGCAATAATATTTAAGAATAAAGGTTAAAAATCGAAAATACAGGAAGCAGAAAAAATGTTGAATAACAAAATAGTAGTATTTAACCTTTTGACGCAAATGGGGTCTCGGTGTTCCTTTTACTCCTTTATCACTCTCTAATTACAAGCAAATACATATTTTGGTATTTTTTAATTAAAAAACATAGTCTTATAATTACTAAATAAATCTGGTAGATTATCTAAATTATATTTGTACTACAATACAAAATCTGAAAAAAGTAGTTTGAATTATTTTCTTTATTTATCTATAATTGATTTTGTAAATTAAGGAAATTTCAATGATGAATAACTGTTTCTCTTTTGAAAATTTATTGCTTGGGAATGAACCGCATTTACCTTTAACACAGAGACACTGTTGTATTTCATAATCATAAATTATTAAAATGCTAAGCATAATATTTACCCCTCATTTTGACTTAAATTAATACAAAATCATAAAATAGGATGAAAAATATTTTTTACATATTTTTTGTTAATGGGTTAAAACAGTAATCATCTTTGCATTTCCTTTCAAAAATAAATTAAATTAGCACATTGAAATTCTCATGCAAACCTAAACAGAAATATTTGTTTCATTTAGTTGCTAAAAAAATGTCAGATATTTAATAGTTTATGCATATTTTAGTTTTTATTTCAAAAGTTAAAATAAATGAAATGTTCTTTTTAAAAAATTTGAAATGCAAAAAGGAAACCTTAAAAATGTATCTTTGTGGAGTTTAAACAAACAATGAACTACGTTTTGAAAGTAAAATAGCCAGTCCAGACGAAATATTTACTACCAATTATACGATATCAGTATTTGATAATAAGAAAATTGTGATGAAGATACAAGAAAAATTTGTAGTTTTCGAAAACTCAGAAGAAAAGATCAATTTCTTTGTTCAGGAAACTGCAGCAGATATTATTAGCGCAATCCAAATAAAATGTTTCGATTTTCTGATTGAGAATATCTAAAATGGCCTGAGGAGTAAAAGAAATTTCAAAGATGAGATGTTTAGTACTTCAAAAAAAAAAAACAAAAAAAAAACACTGAATTGCGTTAAGCCGAATCATACCCGCAAGAATTCAGCCAATTGCTCTGACTACAAAAGATATTAAAAGCTTGTTATTTCTTGGTTATTTCTGAAGTTTTCTTCGTAATTGAAGGGGGAAACCATGAAATTTGGGATGATGCAAGGTTCTTTTTCTTGTCGAACTTTCATAATACTCACACTGTAAAAATTTCCCGATCAAGTTAAGGTGAAAAGTATCGCACTCAGAGAGGTTCCGGTACATTTTACGGTAAAATCTATTTCTGTCGGAACATGTTGCGGAACCAAAAATCTGATTTACCGTAATTTTTACAGTAATAATTACCGTGAAATCACTGAATTACTCAAATTAAATAAATATCACTGTAGAAACTACGGCGTAATATTTTATGGTAAAAATGCATTTTTACGCATGAGGCACCCAAAAGGCCATAACTTTATACCTTAACTTGATCCAGAATTTTTAACGATGTATGTCGCAAGCAGCAAATTCTCTCCCTTTAAGATACTGATGACGACAATCTCAGTTGGTCTTAATTCAGTTATCTGTTCAAGCGACCGTTAGCAACGCAAAAGTGATTCACCCTAAAAAAAAAGTGATTCAATGGCCAATCGCAATGAGTGTGAAACAATGATGTTGATGTTGTCTGTGTTCAAAATTAATAAAATTTCCAGATTTTGATGATTGTCTCCAGAACCATTTGACTGATAAAAACGAATGATTTGGGGATAGATTGAGATGATATAAATAAAATAAGAATTCATTAGTCATGATGCACATGCGTTTTCGTGCATAAGTCAAAAAGTTATCAGGCAGTAAAAACGGATTCGAATAAAAAATATGAGTAAAAAAGAAATTAATTCTCCAGCAGATACATTTTTAATAAAACCACACCATGACTTCATACAGGAAATGGGACAGTTTGTACTTTTGGCAAATAGTCCTGCTAATTTATCAGTTTCTAGGCTCTAGATAACTGATGAAGAGTAAATAGCAATCTGCAATTGCTTTTTCATGTCTCAGTCATTCTCCGTATGGTTCTGAAGATCTGGATAAGAACAAGTCTGGAGATCTGACTGGTCAATTCATGTGTCGAATATCTTCTGTTTTCTGCAAATCGTCGCCCTGAGTTCATTTTAAGGAGTGACAACATGCGGTTCATCTTCCTGACGATTTTCTGAAAAGTAAAAGTATTTGCTAAACCAATCAGATCTCCGAACCTCAACCCTACAGAACTTGTCTGAGATATTCTGTGACAGGAAACAAATATTTAAGCCATTCTTACTCCTGAATTACTGACTGGCGCTTGCATATCTTTGAAAATATACACAGTATGTATTATTTTCAGCATTAAAGGGTTACCATTTTTGTTTGATTTTGTTAACACTGTTTCATACCTTCCGACTCTAATGAGCATTTTACCAACACCTCGTAGAAAAGAGCAGGCCTCTGTACGGGTTACCATAAATATCCTTTAGTAGTTCAAACGTAATGACATATTTCGTATTTTCAACCACTGCGCAGCTTAGTACCCCGAACGTAATGGCATCTTTCTTATTTTTCATCTACTGAGCAGTTAACTTCGTCACATGAGACTACTAAATTGATCCGTGCTGAGGCCTTCCTACCTCTAGGAGGTGTTGATTTTACACGCCAATGCATGTGTGTTACAATTGTTGATAGGATTTTTAATATATTATATGAACCTAATTTCATATACCAAGTTTCATTTAAATCTAACTCTGGACGTAATCCAATAAATCTGATATTCTCGGTAAAGCAGTATAGTACCATTCAAATTCAGAGTAGTAGTCCATGGAGGAATTTATGGTTCATTTGCATATTTAAGTTTTTTTTTTTAAAAAAAAGAACTTGGGAACTGATATAGATGTTTAAATTTATTTGCACTGTGGTGTTTTGTGAAGTTAAAAGAGGGTCTGCCTGAGTTCTCTTAGCATCTAATTTAATTAATGTGAATGAAGTGAATTCCCTTTGTATTATCTTCTATAAAGTGAAAATTTCCATTACACCGAAAGCTCTGCCTTACGAACATGAATCATTAATTACTATTAATTTATCTTGATCAAATTAATTATCTATAAACGTGTGGAAAAATATCTTATTTTAACATTATTGTATGTTTATTTACTCTATATGTTGCATATATGAATACAATTTTCCTTACATTGTAGGTTTTATGGGATATGAAAGATGCTGTCACAGTGTATTATGTAGGTTACGGAATTTCTCTTATAGCACTCACTTTAGCTCTGGGAATATTCATATGTTTCAAGTAAATATATCATGAGTTTTATTACAAATTTCAAGTACGGAATTAATTTTTGCATTACATGATTCATACAATAATTATTACTTTTTTTTAAATTGCAGAGATTTAAGGTGTTTGAGAAATACTATTCATGCCAATCTCATGTTCACGTACTTGCTCCTGGATATAACTTGGATTTTAACTGCAAAACTTCAGTCAAGTCAAAACTATGTTTCAAGCAGGGTAAATATCTTTATGGTGTTCTAAAATAAATGTCTTCTATTCTAAATAATAATAGTATATATTATTATTTTAATTTAAATAATTATATTAATAATAATTTTGCATTATGACTATAGAATTGAGTCTTTTTAATTATCTTTAGTCTGTTTCATTTATAGCTTCATCGATTCCGTAAATGATCTCAATTCTGCTCCGGTCCTACATTGTGTATGGAACTGTATCGTACCTTGATTTGGCATGGTTTTTCTGCTCTCCCCAAATCCCATCAGTTTTTCCCTTTTATTTATTTCGTTGGTCACTAAGTCTTTTTTTTACATCTAATCTGTTTTTAAGTTTTAGTTATTAACGTATCGTCTGGAAGAGGAGCGGCGTGTTTTGGACACTCGAAGTATTTTAACAGTATTTTCATTTCGATTATTAAATAATAAAAAAATAAATTGATCACTTCAATTTCTTTGGGATTACTTGTTTCTCTCATTAGTTTAGTTTGAAATTGCTGGCTTTTTGGCGTATAATCAAATAAACTCATAGATAAAAAAAAATGGTCAACAAGAAGTGGATGCGAAATTTTTTACAAGTTGCTTAAAAATTAGAAAGTTGAATCTGAGATAAATAATCAGATTTAGTACTCCATTTGTTTCCATGGTTCCTTTTGTGAAGCGACTTCAGATGTTTATATCACAAATTTGTGTTCAAAACTTTTATTTAAAGCAATATTTTTTGCAGAAATTAAAGTGAAATTTCAATTTTTTATGGAACTGATATAATGGACTCAGAACTCTTTAAAAAATGTACAAATTTCTTCAACAGAAAGATTACCTTCTGGACATACATATATATCTTGGAGGTCATTCTACCAAAAAGTGAAGCGCAGTACATAATTTTTTTCTACAAACGGCAATCAAATATTAATTTTTTATTGAAAATTTGACTGACATTTCAAAGAATTGTTTAGAAAGCAATCATTAAAATTTGAAGCTTGATTTGGACATAAATCATTTTTTTAAGTATCACTTTATAAAACTGTATCGTTCAATTTAGGTTTCAGCTGTAATTTTTTCTAGAAATGAAAGTCAAACACCAAGTTTTCAGCATTAAATTTACAAATTAAACAACCCACTATGAAAACTAATAAAAAAAATTTGAAAAAAAAATTTTTTTAGCAAGCATCATTTTATTTTATTATTTAATTTAATTTAATTTTATTTAATTTCGTTTTATTTAATTTTATAATCAACATAGAACATCCAACAAAATTCAGAGTTTACAATCATCAATATTTAACTCTGTAGCCTTGTAATTTTATACCAAACTAAGAAGACAGAAGAACTCTTAAACAAACTACCCTTCTTCATGGAGGATTTTTCGAGGAAACTAATCCCCATTTGGCGTTACATAGTGAGGAAAACCACCCACCGTTTGCTTGACGGCAAGAGAATTCTAACCCATGATCCGTCTACCCCTGAGAATATTTCACGTCAGCTCTGTGGTCTTTGTGAGCCGGGAACAGAATTAACATCAACCAGCCACCTGTGGGATTCGAACCTGGGGCACTTCATTAGGAGGCGAAGTCTCTAACCCCTGAGTTACCGTGGCTTCGCAAACATCGTTAAAATAAATGGCAATCGAAATGCATGGTATATAGCAAAACGCCTAACGACTGAAAGGAAATTTATTTTGCTAATTGGCATCACAAAAAAAAGTTCTTGAAACAAAATATTTCCTACTACAGTTTAAAATGGTACTGTGCGCTTTCGACTTAAACCAATATATTTCCACTGGTGGCATTTTAATTTCTAGATTTTCTAAGCCAAATAGATAAAACTTTAAAGGAAAGATTGGTTTTAGAAAGTATTTTCACAAATTTTGTATAAACACTTTCTGTATAAAAATATTTTGTACAAATTTCCCTCGGCAAAATAGTGCCCCAGGCTTTTGATTTGAGTAGAAATTGTTCTAATGACAAACCTTTTGAGAGAAGAGTGTCCAAACTTTAAATGACTTAAAGAACTTTTTAAAAACAAATTTTACAAATTTGAATCAGGAAAAAAAAAACTTTATAGATGTACAAAAATATATGTAACTGTAATTGTTATTTTTTCTACAAAAGGCAGTCGAAATTATATTTTCTTACATCAGTTTATGTAAGTTTTAAATGACCCAGGAGACACTTAGTAAATTAATTTTAGATTTTTACCTCAAAACAAATATTTTGAGTCCATACATATTTTTTGCTTTTGCCATTCTTTAAAATGATGCCATAGACTTGCCGTTCAAACCGTTGTTTAGCAATAGAAACTACAATCCAGTATTTATAGTTAGTTACCTTATAAATCCGTGATTACACTTAAAACGCCTCAAGATGCAACTCAAAAATTAATTTTCACTATTTTGTTCCATAAAATCAAAATATTTATCAGAAATATATTTTGGAAGAACATTATAAATGAAAAATATTTTGTACAAAATATTTTGATAGAAAAATATTTTTGAAATAGTTATATACATATTAGATTCAGTTTATTATTATTATTATTATTTAGTTTACATAATTAAAAGGGATATAAAAATGTGAATTAAAACTAATATTTCGTTAAGATGCATGATTTCCTCACTTTACACTGAACGTGCTAAACATGAAGAATTAACTCAAAATTCTAAAATAATAATCAATAACAGGCTAATCAATAGGTTCTCATCAAACTTAGAAGAGCCCTTGAGATCAACACTTAGAGTGTTTTCACTAACCTAGAAGATCCCGCATAAATATAATATTGTTTTCTGTCCACGTATCACCCTAATACCTATCGATCTGCTTTTGAGAACCTGTCATATCCGTGCTTTGAGGATAAATTCTTAAAATAGATTAAAACGAATAATTTATAAACACACACAAAAAAGTATGTAAATATATATATATATATA